ATAATTTAAAATATACTAATTTATTCATAAATCCCAGTTAATGTGGTATATTTATAGCATGTTCTCTTTGTAATAAGTACCTAGAATAGAAGTCAGAACACCTTAGAAAATTTTAAATTATCACCTACCAAAAAGTTACATTACAAAGGCGGCTTAAAACACTTTTCAGCAATGCTGACATATATCTTAGAGAAATATGTCTTAGAGAAATGTGTGCACTGTGTACCAGGCTACACATGAAAGAGAAAGAATATTCTCAGTAGCACTATTTATTATAGACCCAAACTAGAGACAACCCATATGTCCATCAATAATAGAATGGACAAATTGTGGTGCATTCATAAAAGGGAATACTACACAGAAATGAAAATGAGTGAATTACAACTATTTTCAATGACCTAGATATTTAATGATGTTTCATGAATCCTTTTGACTATATACAGAATGATTCTACTCTTTATAAAGTTTCAAAAACAGGCAAAACCACGCTGTATTGTTTAACAATGTATACACAAGGGGTAAAGCCAAAAAGAAGAGCAAGGAAGTGGTTACCACAAAAGACAGGAAAGTGAGTGTTTGTGAAGGGAGGGAGGCATGGGACACACTACAGGGTGGTGGGGCAGCTTCTGGAGTCCTGGCAATGTTCTGTTTCTTGACCTGATAGTGATGATATGGGTTTTACTTTTTACTTATTTGTTAAACTGCACATTTATGTTTTATTTATTTCCTTATGTGTGGGCTATATTTCACAATAGAAATGTTTTTTAAAAATATGGTTTCTGAGGTACCATTAACCTGTCTATATCAGGGCATGTTTCTGCAAATAATGTTATTTTTGGTGGCAAGGCAACACTTCTCCAATATTTCTCAACACTTTTCATAGAGATGGATACCACATTTGAAAAATTTTACCGGAATGAATTATTGTGAAAACTAGAACTTCATTTTCTACTGCTTTATTTGCCGATTAAATACAGTCCATCTTCACTATTTGTGGATTTGCAAGTTTGTCTATTCACTAAAGATACTCTGGGAGCTTTCCCGGTCATTTGCGGGTCTGCGCATCAACCAATTTCCAGTTGAAGGCGAACAAGGCAGTATTTGCTGGACTTTGTAGCACAGTGCCACAAACAATGAGAATAGACTGTAAATATTTATTCAAACATGTATATTATTTCTTGTGCTTGAGGGACTGTCTAAAGTACAAAGATGAGTTTGGGATCATCTTTGACTTCAAGACTTTATAATCAAGTAGAATGGCAGTCATTTCTCTATGAGACAGATATAATAAAAGTGTTTTGAGGAATTTGAAGAAAGGAAAGATTACATGCATTTGGGAGGGAAGCAGGTAGACTTTTATGGAAGAGATGACATTTGAGATGGACTCTGGAGGATGGGAAATATGACAGAGAAAGTGAGGAGCCAGGGCCTTTGGGGTGAAGGAGGCTTCATGACAAGGCTTTGTGAGTAGGGAATCAAAAGACTTGTAGTCAGTTGGATTGTAGGGGAGGGGTGCATGATGGTTAACAGAAGGAGATGAAGACTAGATAGGAGTTTTGGGTCCAGAGCATAAAGGACCTGAAAATCATGTTTAACAGTTTGGACTTTTCATTAGGCAATGGGGAATCCACTGAAAATGTCTGAACAGTCTTAGCAAAATTAACCTTACAGTTGTGTGTAGGATGATATAAGTTAGAAGCAGACATGAGGTAATTATAGTAGCCCCGAAGAGAGGCGACGGAGGCAATAGAGATGGAAAGAAGGGACTCTGAGAGTCACCTGGAGATAAGATCTACAGCATTTTCCAGTGTCTTAGATGCTTGGGGTAGTAGTGAATGGAGGGATGAGAGGTAGGAGGATATCAAAGATGATACCCAGGCTTTGTGAGGTTGACTGGGAGAGTCACGGTACTCTTAACAGAAATAAGAATATTAGGAAGTTATTGTTGTTGTGTGTTCAAGAGTGAGGGAGAAAATAATGCATTTAATTTCAGAAATATTAAATTTGACTACCATTGGATAAACAGGAAGAGATGTCCAGTGAACCATTGGAAATAATATCTAAATATATATATTTGTGCTTTAAAGTCTACTCAACCCTTTGGAAATACTTGTGATCTAATTCTCTCAAGAACCCTGCTGTTGTCAGGTGCCGTCGAGTTGGTTTCGACTCATAGTGACCCTATAGGACAGAGTAGAACTGCCTCATAGGATTTTCAAGGAGCTGCTGGTGGATTTGAACTGCTGACCTTTTGGTTAGCTGCCGAGCTCTTAACCAGTATACCACCAGGGCTCCAAGAACTCTGTGGTGTTTCCATATTTAGCAAGGTAAAAACTCCGAAGTGGTTAAGCCAGACTTGAATCCAGATCAGCAAATGTCCAATTTATGGCTGTCTCCTATAATGCCTGTTTGTGACTGTGGAATGTTCTGGGCTAGATTATAGATGTGGATTAGCTCAGTCACATGGAAGTACTGGGAAATGTCAGAAAACATAAGGAAAAATACGAAGGAGAAATTACCAGAGAATCTCCTTATTTAGGAGATGGGATGAGGATGAAAACCCACAGAAGAGTTAGGGAGGTGGGAGGGCAGCCAGGATACAGTGACTTGGAAACCAAGAGAGGCTAATGTTCCAAGAAGCAAGGGCTTGTCAGCACTGCCAAGTGCTGCTGAGGGTTGAGGGCTCAAAAAGCAGAACAGCTTTTTAGTATGATGATGAGGATGTCAGTGGAGAACTTTGTAAAAGATTTCAAGGGAGCAGAAGCAGCAGCTTTCCCGGGATAAGAAGTGACTATAGGAAGTATAAACTACCTCAAAAAGTTTCGTGGAGAAATGAAAGTAAAGAATAGGCTGGCAGCTGGAACAAGTAGCTAGGAGGAGAGAAGTAGTGAGGGCCGATACGAATATGGGCACCTTTGCATGTTTATGGGCAGAGCAAAGAACAGCAGTAGAGGGGTAGAGATGGATGAAGCCAGAGAGAAGAAGATTAATGGAGTGAGGTCCTAGTAGAGGCATGCGGTTGAGCGCATAGCTGGGAAGGCACTGCTTTCTCAAAAGAGTGAAAGAAACAGTATGGAGGGTTCATAGGTATTTTTGAGGTGGAAAGGAATGATTGACAGTGGTCAATTCAAATGGCCATGCACTGAGATCCTACACTGAAGCATCTTATAAATAGCTTCTCTGTGGTCAACTAATTGTTTCAAGTACATCTCTCCTCCTCTAAAAGAGTACAATACCTGGAAGGGCTGTCGATGGCTTCTTTTCATGGAAGGGGCTCAGATCCCCTTGCACAGCAACTCAAATTCTTGTTGATTGAATGGCACACAGCTCAGTATTGACACACTGACATTGGAGCCGTTTATGAAACACCAAGAATTCCTTGATGGTGTTGGCTTTCTTCAAAAATATCACCGGGACTGTTCAAATT